CCGGGGGGGGGCCGCCTCCTGCCGCTGAGCGGGACCGGGACCCGGGGGGCCGTGCTGTCTGCGAGCCCTCCGGGGCTTCTGAGCCCTCTGGAGCAGCCGGGACCGTCTCAGTTTTCCTGTGCTGGCCCCCCTCGAAACCTGCTCCTCCACCTCCTCAACCTTCTTCTTCTCCAGTGTCCGCTTGGCACCCTCACCTCCCTGTCAGGTAACGCAGGGAGTGTCTGGTAGATCCCTGGGCAGGACACCACGAGTAATAGTGGCAGTCGTTGCCTTGGTCCTGAAGAGGACATTGCTGATTTCCATTACCTAAAATTATCCATTTTGCCATTTTCTTTTCCAAGGTTGAGCACTTCAGATCACCTGTCCCCTCTGCTTCTGCAGGCTTTTACATGAGGTAGCTTTCCATGGACCCTACTGGCACCAAGACACTCCCGAATACCCAAAACCGTTTTGGTTACTCTGCTTTAAATTTAAAACGAGCCTTTTGCAACTTTTGGGATGTTCTTGGGCTGCCCCTCAGCTGTGTGCTAAATGAGCTGGGACGAGGAGGGAGACCAAGCCGTGGTTTTGGGGCCAGGCATCTCTTGCCTGGTGTTGCTGGGCGCAGGCACTGTAGCCAGCAAACCTGTGTCCTTGTCCCCACGAGTGGGTGTTTCTGTGCTAAAGCCCCACTCTGACCACAGCCTGTGTTAAGGGGGCTTTTATTCCACCACCCAAGGCTGTGCCTGTGCTGGGATGAGAAGTTCCATATCCTGTAAAATTCCTGCTCAAGCCGTGGTTTTGGGGCCAGGCATCTCTTGCCTGGTGTTGCTGGGCGCAGGCACTGTAGCCAGCAAACCTGTGTCCTTGTCCCCACGAGTGGGTGTTTCTGTGCTAAAGCCCCACTCTGACCACAGCCTGTGTTAAGGGGGCTTTTATTCCACCACCCAAGGCTGTGCCTGTGCTGGGATGAGAAGTTCCATATCCTGTAAAAGTCCTGCTGTGGGTACAGTGATGCTTGGAAGCAGGCTGAGCATTGGCTCACCAAGGGCTCGTGTTAGTCCTTCCCATCTTGTCATTGCCAGGTCTTCTGCTGTGGTCTGAAGTGGGCTGGCACATCATCCTAGCTTCTGCCCCAGAGCAATTCCTGGGTGGGGAATGGCCACCAGCTCTTGATTTTGCAGTGTCTGTATCACTTTTCCCCAGATTTCCTTTCTTCCCAAGTTGTTCCTGAGCTCATTCCTATCTCCTTTCACTCACAGCAAGAGGGAAAAGGTTGGGCTGGTGCAGGGGCTGCTGCAAAAGGACCTGGTTTTCCCTGTTATGGAAGACTGGGCTGGACTGGGGGACTGACAGGCCAAATATTGGTGCTTTAGTGATTGCAACAGAACCAGAGACTTGCAGGAAAGCACCTGGGGGAAACTTGCTCCCTTCCTGCTTGGAGGGTGCCAGTCCCTGTGGACATTTGATGCTGGATCATGGAATCTTAGAATGGTGAAGGTTGGAAGGGACTTTAAAGATAGTCAGGTTCCAACCCCCCTGCATGGGCACGGACACCTCCCACCAGCCCAGGCTGTTCAAGCCTCATCCAGCTTGGCCCTAAACACCTCCAGGGATGGGGCAGCCACAGCATCCCTGGGCAACCTCTTCCAGTGCCTTCCTGCCCTCATGGGGAAGAATTTCTTGCTGATGTCTGACCTGAATCTCCCCTCTTTTAGTTTAAAACTGTTACCCCTTGTCACTGCCCTCTCTGGTGAAAAGCTCCTCCCCAGATTTCCTGTAGGCCCCTTCATCCTGTAGGATGAGACTTGTGGAGCTGTTTGCTGCCCTGGGCTGTGGGAAGAGCTGTCCTACCCCTGGCAGGGCAGGCAGGGGCACCACCCCAGTTTTGCTAGGGTTGTGCTGTTGGGAGGCTCAGGGCTGTGTAAGGGCTGAAGCTGCCTCGTGGAGGTGGTATTTGCTTTAGTACAGCTTCGACCTGCACCTCATCAGGTTTGGTCACAGTGGGTAAGGTCACGGGAAGCACATCCCTGGCCCTGCCACAGTGTTGGTGTCACGGTCACACCTGCAATCCTGAAACCAAAGGGCTGGGGCTGTTCCTTCTCTGACCCTGTTGCGGTGCCCAAGACAGGACAAGTATTCCCTGGGAGCCCTGGCATTGCCTCCCGAGAGCCCTGGCACCACTTCCCAGGAGCCCTGGCACCACATTCCTGCCTGTTTACGATTCTCCGGTTACATTCCCGGAGAGGCTCCAAGCTGGGAAGGGAGCGTGGGCTGGGTGCTGTGGGGAGGCCACCTTCCCCCTTCACTAGGAACATTAACCAGTTACCCAGTCCCAGTGTCAGTCCTGCTTGGACAGACCATGGAGCAGCAGCTCCCTGAGGGGCTGGGGTGGTCGCCCCAACTGTGCTGCCAGGGCCCAGCAGGAGGCTCAGCCGTGGGGGCCTGTGTCCCCAGCCCGCAGCAGAGCAGAGCTGCACACTCTTCCCCAGCCTCGAGGGGGAACGATCCAGCCAAAAAAGGTCAGGGATCTCCAAAGCCGAGGGGGGGGCGCTCAGGAAGCCTGTCAGGCCACACTGTGCGAGTGGCCCCTCATCCCCTCCCTCCCTCCACAGGATCCGCACCCTTTGCAGCAGCCGTTGCGCAGGAATCGCTCCAGAAGCCACGACAATGAAGCTGTTGGAGAACTCCAGTTTTGAAGCCATAAACTCCCAGCTGACAGTGGAGACGGGCGACGCTCACATCATTGGCAGGTGAGAGCTGGAGCCACCGTGGGCCCCTGGACCACCACTGCTGCCTCTGGGAATACGGGAGGGTTGGCCTTGGGTGGGACCTTTCAGGGTCATCCAGTCCAGCCCCCCTTGACAACAGCAGTAATGACGTTGAGTTGTCACACGCACACACAGTTTTTTAAATTCCTATCCTTTTTCCAGAGGGAACGCTCCCCTGCCACTGCTCTGCTGGCTTAAAGTTGGCGGCTCCTTCTGCTGGGGGGTGAGGGGTGAGCTGCTGGTGTCAGGGCCTCTCCTGGGTGGACGATGACATTTGTGTTGATGGTATCTCCTTCCTCGCTGGGATCCATGTGGCATCACGATTATTCACTAATGCCCTTCTGCCCCTTCCCTCTTTCCTCCTGGGGCTGCAGCTCTGTGTCCCAGTGGGATTGACTCCTTTTCTGCACATGAAAATCCGTTCCTGTCCTCTTTGTCCCCCGAGGCCCAGGCTGGTCCCAGCCCTGGTCCATGTTTCCCTGAGCACTGCTGAGCTGTCCCTCCAGTTCCAGCCTGTGCTACCTCTTGTGCCATCCTGCCTGAGCCCCTTCATGCTGCATCCCACCTCTCCACCCCTCTGGGCTCTGTACTCTATGGGACAGGGAGGGAGAATGACTCCTCTTTGGCCACAGCTGCCACCTCTTCCCTTGGTTGTTTTGGTGCCATTTCCATGAAATTGCTGCTTAAACACTGAGCAAAGTCTCCTCTTGGAGCCAGGCACTGGGAACAGCCTGAGCTTGGGGAATTCCTGCCTGCACCCCTTGGTCTTCTCTCTGAGGCAGGGAGGTGTTTTGTGCAGTTTGTTCATTGAATCTTGGAACCGTTTGGGTTGGAAGAGACCTTCAAAGCTCATCTAGTCCAGTCCCCATGCAATGAGCAGGAACATCTTCAACCAGATCCTTCAACCCCTGTAATGTTTTCCATGGATGAGGCATCTCCCACCTCTCTGACCAACGTGGGCCAGGGTCTCACCACCCTCCTTGCAAAAAATTTCTTCCTTAGGTCTAGTCTGAATCTCCCCTCTTTGAGTTTAGGCCCTGCTAAAAACTTTTTTATCAGTATTTTAAGTCCTTAAAGGCAGCAGTCTCCCTGGAGCCTTCTCTTTTCCAGGCTGAACAGCCCAACTCTCCCAGCCTGCCTCCAGAGCAGAGCTGCTCCAGCCCTCCCAGCATCTCTGGGGCCTCCTCTGGCCTCTCCAACAGCTCCATGTCCTTCCTGTGCTGGGGACCCCAGCCTGGCCCCAGCCCTGCAGGGGGGTCTCAGCAGAGGGGACAGTCCCCTCCCTGGTGCTTTTGGTCACACTGCTGGGTAACAGCCCAGGATATGGGAGGTTCTGAGCTCCAGTGCATGGTGCTGGCTCATGGTCAGTTTGTCACCGACAGTTGTTCTCCTGTTGAAGCTGGAAACTGTCACTGGGAAAAGCTTTTCAGGTGCCTCTGACATGGTCCCTTGGCCGCTCTGTGTCCCTCAGTGTCCCACAAGGGAGTTACTCCTTGGCCATCTGCAGACCTATTTTTGGTGCTGGCTGAAGGGCTTCTCCTTGGATTCATCGCTCACTCCAGTTTGCCAGGCACAGCTCCTGCCTCTTGCTCATTCTTCCTGTGCCAGCTGACAAGTGGCTGCACAGGGGGACTTGGAGGGGCCGTGAGAGTCCCCATGGGGCATGTGCAATGCTGTTGGCTGGGTCCTGGGGCTGGGCTGGTGGCCAGGGTGGTGCCAGGGCTGGCCTCATGCAGGGTGCTCTGTGTCTCTGCAGGATCGAGAGCTACTCATGCAAGATGGCTGGTGATGACAAGCACATGTTCAAGCAGTTCTGCCAGGAGGGGCAGCCACACGTCCTGGAGGCCCTGTCACCTCCTCAGACCACAGGGATCAGCCCCAGCAGGTGCTGCAGGAGAGGGGGTTGTCTGCCCCACCCCACACCACGGGCAGCTGCGTGTCTGCAGGGGCGGCTGGGATTTGTGGGGGGAAGGACCCTGTGGGGGTGGTGATGACATTGGTGTGGGCGTGGGCTGGCTGCTCTGTCTGCTCATGGTGCGATGGAAGCGTTGATAGGGAAAAGCCCTTTGAGGTCATCCAGTCCACCTGTTCCCCCAACCCTGCCATGGCCACCACTTCCCCGTGTCCCTCAGCACCACATCTGTCTGGCTTGGAAACCCCTCCAGGGATGGGGACTCCCCCCCTGCCCTGGGCAGCCTGGGCCAGGCCCTGACAACCCTTGCCAGGAAGGAATTGTCCCCCAGCTCCAACCTCAGCCTCCCCTGGCACAACTTGAGGCAGTTCCCTCTTGTCCCAGGGCTTGTTCCTGAGGAGCAGAGACCAACCCCTCTTGGCTCCGACCTCCTCTCAGGTAGTTGCAGAGCCAGAAGTTCTCTCGTCAGCCTCCTTTGCTCCAGGCTCAACAGCCCCGGCTCCCTTAGCTGCTCCTCACAAGTTCTCCAGACCTTCCCTTTGTGCTCCAGCCCCTTCCCCAGCTCTGTGGTCCTTCTCTGGATGCACTCCAGCCCCTTCATGTCCCTTTTCTCACCCAAAACTGACCCCAGGTTTTGAGTTCCCCCTCACTGCTTTCCAGCACAGGGGGATGATCCCTGCTGTGCTCCTGCTGGCCTCCCCAGTGCTGACACAACCCAGAATGCTGGTGGCCTCCTTGGCCACCTGGGCACACTGTGGTTTGTATTGCGTGTGCTGGTGCCCTGCTGACCCTCCCCTCCTGCCTCAGGCTCAGCAAAAGCCAGAGTGGTGACGAGGAGGGACCCCTGAGTGACAAGTGCAGCCGCAAGACCCTCTTCTACCTGATTGCCACGCTCAATGAGTCCTTCCGCCCAGACTACGACTTCAGCGCTGCCAAGAGCCACGAGTTCAGCCGGGAACCCAGCCTCAACTGGGTGAGCACAGCACCCTGCTGTCCTGGCAGACGAGGCAGCCTGGGTTTGTGGGGAGTGGTTCTCCAGGGATCCTGAGGAGGCCTTGCTTCAGGCAGTCCTCATCCCTCCCAGGAAGAGGTTTGCAGGGTGTCTCCTGGGGTGTTTTCCTTTGGCAGCAGCCACCTTGCTCTTCAGTCTTTCTTGGGAATGGCCTCTGGAGCAGGTTTCCCTGCCAGCCTTGGTTAGAGTGCTCTTTCCCAGGGCAGATACTTGGAGGAAGGATTGATTGCAGAAGTGCCAGGGGCTTGAGTCCTTGAGCCTCAGAGATCCTCTGATGGCTTTTCCCTCTCCAGTGGTGCTGTTTCATAGAATCACAGAAGGGTTTGGGTTGGAAAGGACCTAGAAGATTATCTAGTTCCAACCCCTGGCATGGGCAGGGACACCTCCCACTAGACCAGGTTGCTCAAAGCTCTGTCCAACCTGGTCTTGAACACCTCCAGGGAATGGGCAGCCACAGCTTCCCTGAGCAACCTGTTCCAGTGTCTCACCACTCTAACAGTAAACAATTTCTTCTTAATATCCAACCTAGATCTCCCCTCTTCCACTTTAAAACCATTGCCCCTCTTCCTGTCACTACACACCTGGTTAAAAGTCCTTCTCCAGCTTTCCTGGAGCCCCATTAGCACTGGAAGGTGCTCTAAGGTCTCCCTGGAGCCTTCTCTTCTCCAGGCTGAACACCCCCAACTCTCCCAGCCTGTCTTCATAGGAGAGTTGCTCCAGCTTTCACATCATCTTCGTGGCCTCCTCTGGACTTCCTCCAAGAGCTCTCTGTCCTCCTGTTTCCCTGATGCCTGTCTCCTTGCTCCCACCCCAGGGCCCTGAACCCCAGGGCACTCTGGGGCCATCCTGCTTCTCCTCACCCATGGTCATGGCCAAGCTCTGGTGTCCTTGATGGAGGAGGGCCAGGGGGAGGATGAGGATAAGGGAGGGGGTGGCGGGCCAGCGGCAGCCCCCTGCTTCTCTCAGGGCCTGCTCCCTCTCCAGGTGGTGAACGCTGTCAACTGCAGCCTCTTTTCTGCTGTCCGGGAAGATTTCAATGCCCTGAAGCCACACCTGTGGGATGCTGTGGACGAGGAGATCTGTCTGTCCGAGTGTGACATCTACAGGTAACACCAGGCCCCATGCCTGCACGCTATGGCCTGCAGAAAAATAGTTATCCCTCAAAGAAAAGGAGACCTTTTGGCATGCTCCCCTGCACTGTGTCTCATTGCTGGAGTTCACTGATTTGTGGCTGGTGCCGGGGGAGCTGCTGCTGCCCTCCCTGCCTACGCAGAACTTCCACGCCCTTGAAATCTATGCCCCAGGCAGGCAGCAGCTGTGCTGGCATCTCCCTGCCTCCCAGAGCCAGCTGGGGCATGAGGTGGCTGCTGTCACCCATGAGGCTGGCTGAGGTGGCTCCTGCAGCCCATGAGGGCTAGCCAGCTCCTCTGATGAGCCCTGTGCTGTCTGATTCTGAGGACAGAGTCTCCTTCTTGCTCTCTGCCCACTGGCAGCTCCCTGCTCCCTCAGTCTCCCCCTTCCCTCCCTTCCACACAAGCTGGGGTGAGAAGGGGCTGGCATGAGAGTGGTGTCTGGCATGGTGTGTCTCATGCCTCCGGTTCCTGTTGCAGCTACAACCCCGACCTGGACTCAGACCCCTTTGGCGAGGATGGCAGCCTCTGGTCCTTCAACTACTTCTTCTACAACAAGAGGCTGAAGCGAATCGTCTTTTTTACCTGTCGCTCCATCAGGTCAGGCCACATGAGGTCTCTGAGGTTACCATAAGAAGGCATTGCCTACCCTGAGTTACCATCCTGGCAGGGCAGGGCCCTTTGGCCCCTGCTGGCCACGGTGTGGTAGATGTATGCTCGGGAGGTTCCTTCCTGGCACTGCTGCCAGTACAGCAGCTTGGCCAGGGCGAGGAGCTCAGCCCCGTGGCCTGTGCCCTCCTGGGACACCTGACACCAAAGGAGAAGCTGAGGGGAGCTGTGGTTCCCAGGGAATGGGTGGCCCTTCCCCTGGCTGCAGGCATGGGGTGCAGTAACCCCTTGGGAGCAGCCAGCTCCTCCTTCCCGTGGGAT